TGCCTTCACCTTTTCTCACCCGTTCTCACACACGCTTGCTGTATCTTTCTAACCAGTTCATCCCCGGGCTTATTCTGCCTTTCCTCTATAGCCCCGCACCACTGCCTGAGGGTGCTCATTCTCACACAGTTCAAAATCACTCGTTTCTCCAGTGACTCAAACGTAATCCCTAAAACAAAATCCTGATCTTTCCACGCACAATTTGCMTTTCTCAGGTATTTCTTTTCGCAGTATCCAAACGCAGCTCCCCTCGGCGTTCCCAGAGGACATTGCCGGCAGCAGCACAGGCGGCCGGAGCGTCCCGCAGCCTCATGGAGATTGACGCCACTACTGTCCCTGCCCCGGATGGGTTGTAGGGTCAGGGATCRCCCCRCACTGAGCCCACAGCTGTCCCACAGCCCYGGCCTGGCCCCGCACCTCCCCACARGAGCCCAGCCYGTGCCCGGTCCTGCTGCTCCTTSCCTTAACCACATTGCTCTSTACGCCTCTTATTGMCCCCCTGAGCATGGATTGTCGAGACCCCTTCTCAACCCACCCTGAGCAYGGACAGATCTTGGGGACATTAGTGGACACTACTAATACAGTGCTTATATTTAGAATGAATCTTRCAAAATAGATAAAAATGGTTCGGTTTTTTTAATCGGTCTTGAAGGGGCAATTTCTTCCACCAAACACCCAGGACTTCCCAGGGAACAGAAGGGATTGCACAGAGGTGGGCAGGGCTACTGTGATTTAAGAGCCCAGATTATCTTGCAATATTTAAATAACCTTGGCATTAACAGCAAGGAGTCAGTGCAATTTCCAAGGCTACATAAGAAAAGGATGGAAATCTGGGGCCCTAGGGAGCTGAGTACAGATAACATGGAATTATTCCAGCAAAGCCAAGGGCAGCCTAAAGCAATGCAATGCCAGGGACTGCCAAGATCTAACAGTCCTGGAAGCCCCCACCTGGTTTCCTTTCCTCTGAACTGACTTCCCCTTAACCCAGCACCTTACAAGCATTTGTCCTTGARAAAACTGAAAAGGTGCTAGGCTGTTTATTTCCACTAAAGGCGCCTCCATACCTGTTGTGTATACCCAGCTCTGAAACAAAGCTCAACTCCAAGACACATTTGTTTCCCAGGTTTGCAGAGACCCTTTTTCTCCTGCCCAGACCATCCTCTCCAGGATGACTGCAACAAAACCAAAACACACACTCACCAACACAACTCATCCAAACCTGCCAAGATCAGTGCATTCATCTGCTTCTAAAAACATAAATTTACACACTTTTCTCTAAAAACTAATAGTATATTTATAAGCAATAATTTTTTTAAAAAAAGTTTTCTAGCTTGAACATTTGAAACTTTTTACAAGCTGCATACAAGTCAATGTTCTGATTGCTTTTCCTTTTTATTTGTTTCACCTTGGAAAACAGAATTCCAAGGAGCTCTTGAAATTAAACAAAGAGCTCCTTTTGCCTCCTTCAGTCACTCTGAAAGATAATCACGCAAGAAGAAAAGAAAAAGCTGAAGGAAAATTAGTAGTATATTTTTATTTCTCCTGAAATGAAGAATTTAAAACTTCAATGCCTGTGCATGGGGTCGTGCTGGAGCACCTCAGAGCCATGGCCATGGATAAACACCTGACAGAGCAGTTACAGCCTTGGAGAGACTGTGGGTAAAGCTACATCCACTTCTTTAGTGTGGGTGGAAAAGCTCATTCTCTATCATTTTTATGAAATCATGTTTGTAAAAATTTAAAGTTTTAAATTCTTCATGGAGTGGCTGAGCATAGACTGATCCACAGCCACAGGTGCTCCACATTTATCCTTGGGCCACAATCCCTTCCTGGGCATAGACATAAGCACAGCCACAGATGCTTTGAGAGGTTCTGGCTCCAGTCATTGATACCTGGGGCTGTCCTGCTCCTGTGTGGGCTCATCCACAGGCCACAGGTCCCTCGACGTGAGCTCATACTGGAGTTCCAGCAGCACAGAAACAGCAGCGATGCCCTGGCCACCTSCCAGCCCAGGTGTGTCACCATGGCTGTCATCAAAGTGTCCCCAGGCACAGCACAGGAAGCACTAAAGCCAGCAGCAAAATCAAAATGAAGCCCCTAACAAGTCCCACAATACACAGAGAGTGAGCCCCATGGCAAGYACAGGAGCCTGACAACCCAACAGCACCAACAGCTATAAATCCAGTCCAGCACATTCCAGCCAAAGCTGCTAGCTCAAACCCTTCAAGCTCCACATCAGGAAACAAAAAGGACTGTCACAGTTTAACCCCAGTGGCAACTCAGTCCCACACAGCTGCTCACTCACTCCCCTGTAGTGGGATGGGAGAGAATCAGGAAAGGGAGAAAACTCAYGGGTTGAGAWAAACACAATTTAATAGGTAAAGGAAAAACTGTGCACAGAAACAAAGCAAAATAAGGAATCTATTCCCCAGTGGCCACCACCAGGCAGATGTTCAGCCATCTCCAGGAAAGCAGGGCTCCAATCCCATGTAATGGTGTCTTGGAATGACATTCCCCACTTCCTTCTTCCTCCAGCTTTATGGGCTGAGCATGATGCTCTATGGCCTGGGATATCCCTTGGGCCCAGCTGTCCTGCCTGTGTCCCCTCCCAGCTCCTTGTCCATCCCCAGCCCACTTGCTGGTGAGGGTGGTGAGATGCARAAAAAGCCTTGATGCTGTCCAAACAGTGCTCAGCAATAATGAAAATATCCCTATTGTTATCAATAGTGTTTCAGCTCAAATCCAAAACTACAGGAAGCCCATACCAGCGACTATGACAAAAATTAACTCTACTTCAGCCCAACAAGCACAGCTCAGTATCTCCACAAAATTTGGTTTCAGTATCAAAACAAAACTCAGTTGGTCATGTACCATATTGTCAGGGGCTTAAAATGTTACTGATTTTTAACAGTTTTCTGAAATATCTGTTTTAGATTATAACAATCATTTTAGATCAGGTTTTGCAGTTCAGCATTGCCAGAGTTCATCTCTTGAGAAGTAACCAACCATCAAACCTCCTTTGCCGTTGTTCCCGATTGTAGGTTCTGATAGTCAGAAGCAACTGCATCAGACAACTTCTTYCTTAAGAGATGACAGCACTCTTTGCCTCCTCTCCTGAGCCACTGCTTCCAGAACCCTGGTACTACCACGGGTAACACCACCTGCCAGCTTTGGGATTTCTCAGGAGTCTCAATACATGCAACTTTTCTTCAACTTCAACCTAATTTGGAAATGGGGAGATTCAGAGGGGTATTCCAAGTAAAAGAGTCTTGTAAAAAACTAGGGCATTTCAGTGCCTCATTTCAGTTACTTTAAGCAAGGCATGCCTGTATGTTTCTTCTTTTTTCTTTCCCCTGGATCCTGTGTTAGCCTTAAAATATTCTGGGCAGGAGCCGGTAGGGCACTGCAGCAGTGTAGCGCTTCCAGTCCTTCCCGTATTTGCTGCAACAACGGTGCTCATCCCTAATGCAGCGGTGGGTGAGCAGAATGGTCATGTAAACRATGTAGAAGTAAGGCAGGATGTGCTCAAAGCCACAGGCCAGGCAATAAGCCAGCGAGCCCATCAGGTCTCCCGTGTAGTTGAAATGACGTGCCCAGCCCCAAAATCCAGAGGTCATCAGCTTGCTGTAGTACTTGGTCCCATCCACGGACACATAGGAGCACTCGATGTACTCCGGCTTCTTCCCCCAGATCCTGCAGTTGCCATTGGTACGACGGAAGAGGTCCTTCTGGTGGTTGGTCATTCTGAAGATGTAATAACCCAGGAAGCCCAGCATCAAGATCCCTATGGCATGAGCTGTGCACAGCTGGACAGGATGGTAAACCAAATACAGACCCTGGGGAGCACAAAAGYAATCAGTCATTATCTTCCAATAGAGGCTTAGCATGCCAGACCAATTCCTTGACTACAGTGACACACAAAAGACCAGAAGAAAGWGTAGAAAGACCTATTGCAACAGCAAAACTGCAGAAAACTTTCAGAGAACTCTGCATCCTACAGTTTCCTTCTCTACTTCTCTYCAAAACTGCACTTCTTTGTGAAACAAGAAGAGAGAAGTTGCAATGATGCAAACCAGACAGAAGGAAAAAAACAAGGAACAAAACTCAAACAAACCACCACAAACCAAAAGACCCTCAACGTGCAGGAGTAAAAGAAAAGAAATGGAAAGGATTTATAAAAGTATACAGACTCAACAAACAGTGACAGAAAGAGGCACAAAATTATGGGAGAAGAGGAAAAGATTTCAAATCCATGCACACTCAGGAGGCTTTCCAACAAGTGAATCGTTACAAAGAATGTTGCAATGATTTGTCAACAATCAAACTAGCTAGGAACCTTTAAGGGCAAATTAAACTGCTGGGAAGAATGTTTCTKGAAAGTTTAATTCCTTGCAGCCCAAATACACAGTGTACACATTTTTACCTGCAAAGTATAGAGGTAAGGTAACCAAACACAGTCTCCCCAGCCCAAATACCATCCAAAATGATCATGGCAGATATCAATGGTTTTCAAGTACCAGGCTTCATTCCAAAAGAAGTCCAGAACATAAAGACCCTGCAACAGAATAATTTCACATCAATAACAAAGCACTGTCACCAGTTATCCTGTTTAACAGCATTAGCCTAATCTCTGTGCTGCCTTGTGATATGATCTCAGAATTCACTGGTGGTTTTATGTTACCATTATTTCTGGTTTTCCAAAACCAGAAATTTCTGAACACAGTTAARAAGAACTATCACATAACTACATTCTACCTAGACACACAATATCTATCTAGACAAATAAAGCAATAGTAGGATGACTAAGGGAAATGTACAACTCAAGGACAAACACTTGGGAAGTGAAGTCACAATTGACCACCCTGACTTCTCTTCAGCTYAGAGTCACAGGGTTACACAGAGCAGGGACAGAGCTTCTATTGAGCAGGCTGCCATTTACACAGAYCAGTGAATAAATCCACAGAAGTTCCAGTACCCCATCACTGAATGAGCTGGTTCAGGCCAGAAGAAAATGCCTAAGTTTCAATTCTATGGAAGGAGTTTCTTTTCTACGTTAATATTAATTTATTTCCTAACTGGTTTCTTMATTTCTTGCTCAGAATTTACCTGAAGGACATTGACAAGGATCATGGAGTTTGTCACTTCACCATACAGCTCCTGTTGTTTGGCAGCAAAGGAAAGGTTGATTAAAGTCCAGGCTACAATCCCAGGGCGCCCATTGAAGAACAGCTTGAAATCAAACCACTTCCCTATTCGAGGGTTAAATTCAATCCCCATCATGTAATCATAAAAGAAGTTTCCAGTGAATTTGCTATAAAACATRAAAAATTAGAAATATACAGAGTTATATACAAATACAGGTAATTACTACTGTGACTAAACAATTCAGGTTAATGATGTAGTGATARTAAAAATCATAAAACCATGTAACATTGTGCAAATTGACCCAAACCAAAGTATTACATTAACAGACATGTATTTTAAAATTTCAGAGATGCCTGCGTTTACTCTTCATGACACTTTTGAACAATCTAAATATTTCTAGGATGGGTGTATCTGCGACATTGAGGCTGTCAGTCACATGTTGTGCAGCATGAAACACAGGGGATGGTGCTAGTGAAGCAAAGAACCACTGTCATGCCTGGCTTAGCTCTCTGTGCCAGTTGAAACATATTCGATTTATAGATCCGATTTTTTTTAACCACTTTAATTGCTGATATCCTCCTTACTAAAATTCACATACCAGTCTTTGGCATTGGTAGGGAAAAAGTAGCCTTTAATCATTGCAAATGTGGAAACTGCATATCCCAGGATATTGGCACACCACAAGAGAGGAATCCAATTGTCAAATATGATGGTAGGTGAGAAGAAGTGGAAGCAAGAAGCATTTGCAAACCAAAGCACATGGGTAATGATCCAGGCCTGAAGTCCATTGATTTGATATTTATTCACTACACCTAAAATATGAGGAAAAATTTGAGTGTTAGTGACCCTCCATTAATACAGCTTTTTACTGATACAGGTAGGCACAGAATACACAGAAGCTTAATCAAGTGCTCATGAAATGACTTCACTCTCCTCAGCCTCCCAATTGAATACCTTGAGGCACTTCATTAGACGTTCATTAACGTTCCATTAGACTCTGCTGTAACCATTAGGMTTTGTTAGGCTGAGTTTYTCCTCCTCACAAAACTGAATTTATTCTCTCTCACAAACTAYAGTGACTACAGTAACAAGTTAGTAACAACTATTGGACCCTTCCTAACAGCTCACATCACACAATTTGTTCAAGTCCCTTGGGTTAATGAAACTTGAGCATGTAAAACTCTCTCGTCAAATACCAGCAATAGTCCACTGACAATTTTAAGTGCYAAAATTATCAGTGAGTCCTTTTCCATTGCTGGTGTGGTACCTACCTTATCTACAGTTTTACTAATAAGAAGATACAGAAATGCAATATTTTTTCTAAAAGATGACACAGATTGCTTTCTATTTTTGTTTGAACGGAAAATATGAGGTAGGTGAGAGCATTCATATCCATGTTTACTCTGGCTACACATGGGTTAATAAAGACTCTAAGTGCTGAAATACTGTAATTTTWAAAGATTATATGGTGTGCATGTATTCTAAGGAAGACCTTACCAGCAGGGGTGACAGCACCTTCTTGTACACCTCCMACATATCCAGGAAGAAATTTATGGCAGAAGTCAGGAATGAACACATACAAAACCACCTAGAAGAGAAAGAATGTGTTCACAGTAAATACAGACAAGACAAAACCTCTCAAAACACTATCCCTTACATACATATACCAAATATAACATTTCCATTAGGTATTGGATAAGCAAATACAGCAATATTTAGCTGTTGTGATTTTAGACTAGTAATATATCTAAGCTATTATACAGCTCTAAAGATGTATTGCATGCAAGGTTGCCATACAGTTTTTGTTGGGGAGGCAGTACTGTTGGTAACTAGACAGACTCAGGCTGTTGTGCTTTTAGTTCTATCTATTTATTGTGTGTTAATTTAAAACAAATGGGTATTGCTGTTATATAGTTGCTTTTTCCTAAAAACTTCTTTAAGGAATGTCACACAAGGAGTATTTGCGTATATTCCCTACATACTTATTTTCCAAGTACATAAGCTTCATTTGGATCCCACAAAGCCTTGGGAAGTGTGAAATACCAAAGAGTAAATGCAGTGCAACATTCCACTGTCCTTTGTGTAAAASGATTCACCCACCAGCAGTGTGAAAAATCAGACACTGCATCCAGATCATTACTCAGTAASGTACCTGGAAAGTGACCCAAAGGGAATAGATGCCAGCGGCCCTATAGGTCAGCATGGGAGTCTTGTTCCAGATGTCAGACAGATGTTTATTGCCCGTCAGCAAGTCCAGGAGTGGATCAGTCAGAGAACACTGGTACTGGTCACAGGACATGATGAAGTAATASACGATCAGTGGTGCAAACATGAGCAGGAAAAGAATGCTTGCCAAGGAAAACCAGTCCACCTCCCTGTAATCCAAAACAGAGCATTTTTTCCCCCAGGTTTCAGATAGATGAGTTACATCAGACAAGTTTTTCAGTGCAGCTTGTACACTAACTGGATGGAACCTGAATATGTTTTCAGGACACAGACATGTCTGGGGGTCAAACAGCCGTAAAAAAACTCAACACCAAATATACTTTACCACAAACTCTTCTAAAACCACTAGTTGATCAGAGCARGAGATTAGAGAAAATCTCCCTTCCAAAAACCAGATTGTTATTACAGACTTCATGTTTCTGATGGCAATCATAGCTRTAACTGGTAGAGTATTCAGTTGGAAGCCATAATGGAATCCCAAGAACATCATGCAAAGCTTGGAAATGTGGAAAAGACAGACCTTGGACAGCCRTAAGTTGACTTTTCTGTACCACACACTGTCTGCAGTAGCAAATCACAGACATCCATGGCTGTTCCCAACTGCAGTACGATGCCCTACTAATATCTGTCCACCTCTTTGAGAACTTGGACATGAGTCACAAATTTTGCTACAGCAGGACTTGTCAGCTGGGAATGCCTATTTTCCAGATCTTGGGAAATACTGCTTTCTTTGAAGAAACTACAAATTTTACCAATTTTTATAATTTTTTTTTCTTTTTCGCAAGGAGGACTGTATTTTAACCCAAATCATCTGGCAAATTCTCTGCTTTAAAAAACCTCAAGAATCTTCTTCAGCATCTGTTACTATAGCAAATTATCCACGAGCTTTCCAGAGAAGGCAAGACAACCATTTCCTATTAACAGAGGAAAGTTTAAAAGGAATACAGCATCTCTAAGAGTAAGAATGAAGCAATTGGAAATACAAGGACTACTTAAGAATCATTGGCTTCTCTCACCATGCTCTTCCCCACTGGCCTTGAGATGCTTTAGTATCATTTTGGATGTTTTTATGTTTTCTTTCTTGAGCAAATTTTTTCTCCTGATGGGCTGCCATGATGTTCTGTAAGAAGGAAATATGAATCATGTTACTCCAGCTGGTTCTCAGCAAGTCTTATGCCTCTACAAGAGAATCACAAGTAAAAGTTACTAAAATCTATTATATGGCCTTCAGAGCATGTGAAATTTGGGGGTGCAGGAGAGGAAGCAACAAACATTTACCAATTCCCTGTGAACTTACATTCAACAAAACATAACCAAAGCACTGATATCAAAGTCCATTAAACTTCTTGCTCACTGGGAATTTCTTTTGAGATGCATTACATAATTTCAGCTTATTATTTACATGTGGGATGTAAAAGGAAAAAAAAATATGTTTCACCAAATCTACGAAAATAAAATTCTATAACTGCCTTTCTTAATTAGAGAAATTGCTACTGCAATTAACATTATCCATACTGGACTTKGTCAATTGAATACTTTTGCCCAGACTCCTTGCTCCACATATGTCATTTACACCGTAGAAGACAAGATATAATTCAATCTAAGTAAAAATCAGTGGRAATGGAGAATAATTTATTAGGCACCACCTCATTCTCTCTGTGGAACATGTACTGTAGCTGTCTTTCGGTCTGATCAAACACTTCCCATGTTAAAGGCCATTATCCTATAATATGCCCTATGGACCGACTTCCCGGCTCGACGTTACTCATCACCACGAACCTGATCCATTACCTGGRCACTGAGCCTGGCCATAGCCTCTGCATCCACCACCTCACAATTCCAATACCTGAACACCCCAACAGCGAATTAAATTTCTAATATCTAATCCGAATCTCTACCACCTCAGTTTAAGGCCATTTCCTTCAGTCCTCCCCTGGCAGGCTTCTTTTCAGAAGCGATCTAAGGGGAAGGCGGCTCCTCTCTCCCCTCTGCCCACACTTGGCTTGCTCTCTTCCAGCCCCACTCCCACACACGATGAAGAAGGAA